CTTAACTCATATCTGAGTTTGGCAACTCAATTATGTTCATGAATGGATGATAAATAATATTTGGGGGTCAATGACACAAGTATTTTTGGAATTAATTAAAGAATTTATTTTTTCTTTTTCTTGGTAGAGTTGCCCTAACTGTCTATCTGATATAAGCCTTATAAATTAGCTTGAAGTTGGAATGTGATTTGGTGTGATTTTATCACTCTTTTTCTAGAATTGATGCAACACATTTAATCAGATGATGGAAGCAACTAACAAAGAGATTTATGAATGTATAGTTCATTTCTTCTTTTGAATCGTAGAAAAAATAAAATCAAACATTATGAGATGAGGAAGAAAGAAGTTTGATAACATAATTACAGGTAGGAACCTCTTAGATATATATATATATTGTATGCAACAAATTTGCAAGATTTCTTCTACTGTAGTTGTGCTCTTTCCTCCATTTTATGTCTTTGTCAGAATGCGGAAACCCTTATGCTGGTGGCCTCTTTTCCATACATGACACATATAATTATTTCATTATTTGATTGGAACCTTGAATTTTTTTTTTTTCTGCTTCATTGCTTGTGATTATTCATGCTTTCATCGAATATGGAGTTACTTCTATTGTGTGTATATTTTATATATAGCTTTATAAATAGCTTGTATTAGTATGCATAATGCAAGTTTGGGTTTGGATTGACATGCGAGTCTGCTCCGAACCCAACTCAGGCCATACCCAACCTTGATCTGCCCCTCGGAGTATTTGTTATGTACAAATCAAAGGGGAGAGATTGAAAAATACAGAGATATTGTATTCTTCACTTCTGTTGCCTCAGTCTCTCTCCCTCTTCTCTTGGATTGTCATATATGATTTCATTCCATTATATTTCTCAACTGCTTCAAGAAATTTAATCTTCCATCCTTTTTGTTCAGATCTCCTTCCCATCTTTTTTACACTACAAATTCAAATTCTAGAAATTTGAGTCTTGGATTCCCGTATAACGTTAGGAAATCCTCATTTTGTTGTTTACCAAGACTTGCTCGTGCTTGTAATAGTAAAATTCATTTGATTGACTACTATAATCATCTCTTGATATATTCAATCACTTTTGTGATTCAATAATCATTAATCATCAAATCAATCATTTTTTTTAAAACTCTCTCCCCAAAACAATTTTTCAAAACCATTTCTGAAAAAAGGCAAACCAAACAAGTTTTCGTATTTTTTATCTGAAAAACTACTCTACAAACACAAACCAAACTTTATACCCAACTTTATATGACAAATTTAAGACTTTCCATCACAATTGAACAGATGCAAAACAGGAAAACAAAAATTAAAATCAGAAAAAATTTGCCACGTTTAACTTACCGTCGCATATAACCTTATTTTTTGCCACGGTCTAACTTTTTCCGTCGCAAAAACTATGAATTTCGTGACGGCACTTAAACCGTCGCAAAAAGCAAGCTTTTGCAACGGCACTTAAACCGTCGCAAATAGTTCCGTGGCAAATGCTCCTTTTTCTAGTAGTGAGCATACCCAACTGCTTTCTACCCTTACAAATATTTTTTGAACGGTTAGCAATTTGGTGATGTGAATATTCATATTTTACAATGTGAATATTCACATTGACGGTGTGAACATTCACATCACGAAATATACACACTGTAAATGTGAATATTATTAGGGGTATTTTGGTAACTATGTCACTCATAGGACTTATTTGAATATAAGAAAATAATTTGAACTAAATAGAATATAAGTAGGTAAAAAGAGATTTATGAAAAAGTGTCTTAAAATAAAAATGTTAAAAATTTTAAATATTGATATAAGTGTGGGATCTAAATGGGTTTGATGATGTGAAAATCTCACACCCATGTAAATATTATGTGAAATATTTAATAATTTATTTAGAATTTCTAACATTCAAAAGAAAATGTTAATTGACTACATACAAAAAGAGTGTTTAATATCAACTTAATTATGTGTAAAATATAATATAAAATGCATATAAAAATGTGTAATGGCGTTTTAAAAACAAGAAAATTATATTAAAATTTAATTATTATGCTTTTATGTCACTCTTAAACTGTATTTGAATTATGAATTTAAAAAAAATTCTAATGACAAGATTATTTATTCTATATATGTTGTAGGAAATATAACACTAATAGAAAAAGGGAAATGCTATGGTGTACATCCCTTTAGATGTGCATACTATATGTATCTCATTATAAAAGGTGTAATCTTGCCATAAATTAATGTAACAAAAGCATTGTAATTAAGTTACAATTTTTTTTAATTGATGTTACAAAAGTTTATGTCTAATTATGACATTTTTTGTTACGTAAATTTGTGATAAGATTATACTTTTATAGTTGATATTATGAAATTTTATAATAAAATATATATTTTTGTGCTATGATATATATAATAAGCACCTCCTAAAGACATGCATACCATAATATTTCTCATTAAAAAAATTAAGAAGAAAATCTAATGGTGGGTGATTTTAAGGCGTGAAAAACACTCTTAAATGATTTCTTTTAATATTAGCCCACAATTATGTGATAGTTACATTTTTTGGGATATAAGAACTAAGTTATTTATTGACTTATTAATTTATTTTTAACACATTAATTTTTATTTTTTTATATATCTTTCTATAATAAATAAAAAAAATTAATTTATAAGTGAAAAAAAGAAAAAAGAAAAAAGAAAGAGGTTAAAATCCTCCCAACAATCAGCATTTATCTCCACATGCATCCCTAACAAAATGGGATGTGATGGAGCCCACTGATGAAATAGGATTCTTTTGTAACATTTGTCTTCTGCCACCTTATTTTGGAAAGATGGAAAAAAATGACTTTTTGATTTTTAACCAAATTTTTGGCTTTTAAAAGAGATCCGAATCATATACGAAACAGTTATTGTAGAATTTTATTATCTTGATTTTTAATTGTGATATTTTAATTTTTTATTTATTTTAAATAAAGATAATTAAAAACACTGTTATTCTATTTCAAAGACAAAGTCATCAATTTAAAAATATAAATTAATTTAATAAAACAAATATCAAAAAATTATTTAAATTTCTACCCCCAAAAGATAAATAACTCTTTAACATTTTTAATTTTTTTTTATTTTTTTATAAATTAATTTTTAGTATGTATTTGGATGATGATAGTGTAATGAGCGATTGTTTCTGTTGATATTTTTGGATATTTATAATGTAATAGATGACTACATTTGTTGTAAACATATATATATATATATATATATTTTATCGTTATCATGTAATGGATGATTGTTAGAGTTTTAATGTGTAATTGATATGTTTCATATATGAAATGTTTTTGTTTTAGATTTTTTGATTTAATGGATTGGTTTAATAATGATATTAAAGTTGTTGTCATATTTGACTTTTGAAAAAATTGAAACTAATTTAACGAAAATAAATATCAAAAAACTTATTTTAAAAAATTATTTCTAGTCTCTCAAAAGATAAAATTATATAAAAATGATGTATCTTTAATTTTTTTTCACCAAATTTAATTTTAATTTCTCAATTTTTTTTTTTCTAAAAATAGATTCTAATAATCAAATCAAATAAAACTTTATAACCAAAAAAATTTCAGCATTATTTATTAAATAAAAAGGTCATTACATTTTATACAACATATAAATCAACCAACATAAAATAAGTTGTATGACGACTTTGCTTTTCAAATGGACCATTTACAAATAAAACATTTTTGATTGTCCTAATCTGGAACAAAATTCAATATTTAAGTTCAAATATATTATAATTGAAAAGTCAAAGATGAAAGTGCCACAAGCTCAAACTATAGGGACTGTTAGTATAATTCATCCTATCTTTTATTAAATTTTTACATTTTCCAAATATAAGTGAGTAACTTTTACGTGCATTTATATGTGAATTCTAATGTTTTATGCCAAAAAAATAAAAATAGAAAAATAAAGTAAGAAATTAAATTAAATATATTATCACAATTGAAAATATTTTTTTATGAGTTCTAAAAAATTTTGAATAAACAAATTCATTACACAAAAAAATTACAAAAAAAAAAAAAAAAAAGAAAAAAAAAAAAAAGCAAGGGCTCTACGTGTTATTTTGATGGCCACACATACGAGACATGCCGTGGGGTTGGGGTAGATCCTTATACTTTGAACCTAATCTTCTAGTTTGGACTTATACCATTAATGTTTTTGATTAAATTTTTTTATTGAACTAGTAGTATACCTGTCCTAGGCATAATTTTTAGCTTAAAATATGTTTATCTTAATTTTTTTTTTAAAATGATAGTTATACTTCATTTTAAATCACTTATTTTCCTTTTACAAGTGTGAATATTATTGTCCTTTTTTTTAAAAAAAAATATTTTATTTTGTTTTTAAATTTTTTTAATTTCTAATGCGTTTAGATGATTAAATAAATCATCAACGTGATACTTTCAAAAAAATTTCTTCCATTTTTTTTTTCTTTAAGGTTCAAGCTGTTTGAATTTTGAAATATCAAACTTTACTTTTAAACTACAAAAATTAAAATAAAATAGTATTTGTGCATGTTGTTTGGTAAGATCAAAAGTTATAAATTTCATTATTACTGTTTAAATATGTTTTGTGGTTAATGCTACGAAATTTTGTGATAAAGTTGCGTCAATTTGTGGTAAGATGCATATGGTATACATCCTTAAAAAATTTTGTTAATTTATTTTTGCTCCTAAAACAGAGAACTATTTAAAAATATGTGGAATTTTTTTTTTCTTTCCCCCCACATCCAAATAATATTGCTGAGTTTATAATATTTCATATGACAGTTATACATTTATAAACTATGATCAAAACATTACCTTTGTGTTTTTAAATAATCACACTAGTCATTTTGTATAATAATTCTCTACCATTTTTCTATTTTTATAACAACGACTAGTCTAAATTGATACTCTAAACTGCGCTTCAGCAATTAATGTGTTTGGACTTCGACAACATATTATACGCATTTCATTTCATCATCTATATTTCATTAATTGTGATTTATTTATTTATTTATTTTTGCCTTATAAATAAGGAACTTAAAATGAAGTACAACCACAAAGCTATCTAATGCCTGAAAACCTGGCTCTAACCATGTATAATTCACCTTTGATTTTTCTGCAACTTAACTTGGCATGGGTTCTTCTAGTAGCATCTTTTGCTGCTGCTCAATTCATGCCTGGTTGCCTAGATTATTGTGGTAACATCAGTATCCCATACCCATTTGGAACTAGTAAAAAATGCTACATAGAAGAAAATTTTCTGGTTACTTGTAACGACATCCACTACCACCCTCCCAAGCTGTTTCTAACAGACAGTACCATAGAGATCATGGACATATATCTTTCTGGTCAGTTGCGCATATCATCCGACGTAGCACATGATTGCTTCGGTGAAGGGGGTGTTTGGGAAGACTATTACGACCAATGGATCAGATTGGCCAAATTCCCCATCTCAAATACCCGAAACAAGTTCACGGCTGTTGGGTGCGACTCCTATGCAGTTATCTCAGGCTCCCAGGGACGAAAGTATGACACGGGGTGCTTGTCACTATGCAACAACATCACCAATGTGATCAACGGCTCTTGCTCTGGCATTGGCTGCTGTCAGACGAGTATCCCCAAGGGAGTGAGGAGTTTCAACATCAGCGTCAGAAGCTATGACAAACATACCCTTGTATGGAACTTTAATCCGTGCAGCTACGCTTTCGTAGCTGAGGAAGCTGCTTACAACTTCTCTTCTTTAGATCTTGCAAACTTACAGAACAGAACAAAGTTTCCCGTGGTGCTTGATTGGTCTGTAGGGGACCAAACATGTGCTGAAGCCAAAAACAATCTAACAAGTTTTGCTTGCAAGGCCAATAGCGACTGTCATGACTTTGACAATGGTCCTGGGTATCGCTGCAATTGCTCCCAGGGATATGAAGGGAACCCCTATCTTCCCAATGGTTGTATAGGTAACCACAACTGTGTTGAAAGCTTTCAGTTTCTTCCTAACATTGATGCCATGATTTATATGTTGTAGCTATTGAATATGACATCAAAAATCAAACTTGCTTGTTCTCAGATATTAATGAGTGCATTATTTCAAGCCCCTGCAACATGACATGCCAGAATTTACCAGGCACATACAATTGTTCTTGTCCAGAGGGCTATGAAGGTGATGGCAGAAAAAATGGATCAGGTTGCAGTCTGATTCCTGTTCCGAGCCATAGGCTTCCCGTGATTAACATTGCATTAGGTAGGTACACATACACCCCACACATGCTTACTAATCATAAATTTGTCTATAGATTAAATTTTCATCAATATTCAAACAGATCATTGCTTGTGATTTTGATTCTATCTCCAGTTAAAGAGTTTACAATCCTCAATTATCGATGCACAATCTGAAACAATTTGAAGATGCCATATCTCCAATTACCTTATATTGTTCTTTCAGCAACCTAACATTTATATAGGCATCTAAGTTTTTATAAACAACCAATTATCTCGTCTTATTTTTGATTTTCATGTATAGATTGTGTGTTGGTAATTCAAAGAAGAATGGAATAACCAAAAAAAAAAAAAATTTGTCATCAAAATGTGACCAAAGTTTAGATCAACATCAAAGCCTGCACCAACCAAAAAAAAAAAAAAAACTAATGCATAGAAAATACCTAGAAAATGAAATATATTATTCTCAATGCATCTCGCACCACCCTAAATTTGAATCTATACCATACATTTCATTTTTTGGGTTTATAGCTTTTCCGTTTCATCATAATGAAGTTGAAACTTGAATTATGGATATTGATATTTTTCGTTTGAATCTTTGTAGGCATCAGCATAAGCATCTCAGGGCTACTTCTTGGTGGCTCCTGGGTATATTGGGTATTTAGGCAGAGGAAGATCTTCAATCTTAGAGAGAAGTTTTTTCAACAAAATGGTGGCTTCATGTTAAAACAGCAACTTTCCAAATGTGAAGGATCGGTTCAATCAGCTAAAATCTTTACCTCAGATGACCTCAAGAAGGCAACAAACAACTACGATGAAAGTAGAGTCTTGGGCCAAGGAGGCCAAGGAACAGTCTACAAAGGAATATTACCAGATAACACCATAGTTGCCATTAAGAAGTCCAATGTAATTGATCAGAGCCAGTCCCAGATAGAGCAATTCATTAATGAGGTCATAATTCTCTCCCAAGTCAACCACAGGAATGTTGTGAAGCTCCTAGGGTGTTGCTTGGAGACACAAATTCCCTTACTTGTCTATGAATTTGTTACCAATGGCACTCTCTACGAGCACATCCACAATATCGACCACAACAGGTCCTTAATAACTTGGGAGAATCGTTTAAGAATAGCAACCGAAACTGCAGCAGCCCTTTCATATTTGCACTCTGCCGCTAGTACTCCTATCATTCATAGAGATGTTAAGTCCACTAACATACTCTTAGATGACAATTACGTTGCTAAAGTATCTGATTTTGGAGCTTCAAGGTTGATCCCCAGAGACCGAACTCAATTAACCACAATGGTTCAAGGGACACTCGGTTACTTAGACCCTGAGTACTTTCACACAAGCCAATTGACTGAAAAGAGTGATGTTTATAGCTTTGGGGTTGTCCTTGTGGAGTTACTAACCGGCAAGAAGGCGCTTTCTTTCAACAGGCCTGAATTAGAGAGAAATTTAGCAATGTATTTTGTGTCATCAATGAAAGAAGATCGCTTGTTTGAAATTGTTGATGAACAGGTGATGAATGTAGCAAAGGCTGACCAACTAAAGGAAGTTGCTATTTTAGCAAAGAGGTGCCTAAGAGTGAAAGGTGACGAAAGGCCAGCCATGAAGGAAGTGGCAATGGAGTTAGAGGGATTAAGAATGATGGAGAAACATTCATGGGTAAATGACAACAACGATTTAGAAGAGACTCACTACTTGCTTGGAGATCAACTTTCAAATGCTTATGGTGATGGCAATAATAGAAGCAATTCAGCAGCTTATGATAGCATGGCAAACCATATCATTTCCCCAACTGACGGTGGACGATAAGGTGTTTTTTTTATTTTTTTTTAATAATTGGATGTTCGGGCTAGCTTACACGCACCTTGACTAATCCCATGACTCTGAAATTAATGACCAAACAAATCTCCAGTGACCCCAAGGTTTAGGATGTTTGGCCTTCGTGAGATTCAAACTTGCGACCTCTTAGGTGGTAAGCTCTTTGGCTTCCTTCTCCTCCCACTACGCAAAACCCTTTGGCGTTGGTTGACGATGAGGTGTTTCTTGTCGTGGTTTGTTTTTATTAGATGTTATTTTGTGTGTTTCCATGTGAGCATCGTCAAATAGTCCTTGTAAATTGTTTTGAATCTTTTGATTATTTATGTTGGGATTTTATTTGTTGTGTTTTGCGACATTGAGCATCAAAATGTTTTCTAGAAAGGTAGTTCTTGATGCAAATATGAATAGTAAAATCTATTTGAATAGTAATTAATTTTCTTAATTGGAACACATCTACCTGTACTAAATATGAAGTACCATCCATATCTCTTTACAATTTCATTTCTTCGCCACAAACTGGCTAATGAATTGAATAAACTATCAATTTAGAATAGGAACTACAAATTTAGTCTTCAATTTTTACAATTTTATTTATTTATTTTAGCATGGTCTTCACTTTGAATCTATAAATTCTAGAATAAATTACACAAACCTCTCTTGAGGTTTGATAAAGTCACAGAACCCAAAATTTTTAAAATGACATTAATCGGCCTATATAGGTTCACTTTTATATTTGAATTTACCCCTTCATTTGGCTGACAGTTAAATAAACTAACAGAGTTGGCTGAGTGACCAAATTATTTTACATCATTTCTTATTTTGCCCCCCTTTTTAATGTATGATGAAGACATTTCATTACTATTTCCTCTTCCCTTACCCACCGCACCAACCTTCTCCCCACTCCCCAAAATCACACACAAAACCTTAAAAATATCATATAAACAAGAAGGGAAAAAAGAAATCTAAGGATACAAAAAGATGATGGGGGATTTGTAATGATGGTTGGTTCCAAACAACGCAAGTTACTATAAAACAATAGAAAAATCAACAACACTACTAATGTAGAGTCATCATAGATTTAATCATATAAAATAATTTTTACTATACATGTTATATTGCGGAGCTCATTATAAAAGAGATAATTTTACTCTCAGATTCTTCTATTTATGGTTTATGAGATTAGTTTTGTGTCTTTAGACTTATTGTGAAAGGTTGATTGTAACAGGATTAAAAAGATCGAAGGAATGTAAGCATTTCTTTACGAGTAGCTTTTTACTTTACAAACATACTGTGATGTCCCGACTCCTATAAAGCTATTAAGTACATTATTGGTAACATCTGTCTATTTGTGTGTGTTTTCTTCACTGTTTAACTCTTTGAAGTGGTGTTGTTATTCTCTCCCCTGTGATTGTTACGTTAAATACATTCTTGTAAGTTCTGAGATGTCATCTTGCACTTTTGGGTGTTAGAGAGGAGCCGGGAAGGTTGGCTATTGTTCTGGTAGCTCCTGGTCTTACTTTCTTGGTAGGATCGCTCAAGCGGTCTTTTGGTCGCTCAAGCAGTGAATCTGACCTCCCAGTACTTTGGTTTACAGACTGAACTTCTAGGAGCATGAATTTTTCACTCGAGCAAAGAATTGATCGCTCGAGCGGTCTTTTACAGAGGGGTGTAGAGATTTTGGGAGTGGGTGTTTTTGGCTCGAGTGCAAGTGTCATTGCTTGAGCGGTCTTTCAAAAATTGAACTTATCACTCAAGCGCGTGATTGGTCGCTCGAGCGGTCTGTCGACTGTCAACTCTGAAAATTGATTCAAATTACTTCAAAAGTTGAGCCTTACCCACTTTCCCATTACTTTTCACATTACACTCTCTCTCTCTCCATTAACTTTCACCTTTTTTTCTCTTATCTCTCTCTGGAAACCCTCCAACCCACTTCATTTATTCCTTGATCCCTCACTAATTATTGAGATTTCAACCTTGTTGCCTTCTTTAATTTTGGAGAGCTCGTCGAGGGCTACGTTGTGTGCGGTAGAGATTAAATTTTTACGCCGTTGGTTTCAGAACTTTTCATCATTTCTCCTCAACCTCTTAAGGTAGGGATGTTATTTGAGTTATATATATATATATATATATGTTTCTAACATGTCTTGTCCTTTTTAATTGAGCTTTCTAGTATAGATTTACTTTGGAAGTTGAATCTAGAAAAAAAAATGTTGGAGAAATGTATTCTTTCTCATGTTTTGGTGTCATGACCCAAACCCACCCCTTGAGGTTTAGATCATAACCGGCTAGTAATCACTTGATTACCTACGGCCTCATACAAAACACAAAATAATTATAATAATGGGGCCATAAGCGGAAGCATATAACAATGATGAAAGTCCATTGAGTTGTGCCAATATGATCACAAATATACTTGTTTATATTATGGCACAAACACATAGATTTACATAACTGTGCAAAAACTTATGCACGATAGAAACTCCACATTTATAGTTTACATATCCAAGACCATCATAGCATAATCAAATAAGAGTCATAACATGATATGAGCCAAAAGACGAAAGCTCCATCTAGGAGACTCAACCGATCAGGTTCACAAAAATAATTCTTGAAGTAGACTCTAAGGTTGGGCTCTATGCCGGATATCGACATGCTGATCACTTACACACATACAACATAGGGAGTGAGCGACGCTCAATGAATAATAGTAAAATAAAGAGAATCAAAGGAATAATCTTGAATTAAAAGAAAGCATGTTATGTGAACACAATACTTTTCCTAAATTACATCCTTCACAACATTATCTATAATCACATTTACAGAACGGCCTTGGGCCCAACATATTACGGAATAGCCTCAGGCCCACATATATCACAACGACCTCGGGCCCACATATATCACAATGGCCTACATAATATTTCACACAAACGCATTCGATAAGTAATTCGTTCCATCTCGTACACTTTTCTTTTAATGATTCATATCCATTTTCAATGTCTTTCTATTCATCAATTCCTTTCCCGTAGCATTTAAATAAGGTCGAGAATGAGTTCAGAACAGTAGGCTCTTAAAATCATGCTAAACACAGATATGAAGTTGGTTTTGGTTTCTTGCGCTTCTAAAGTTTTCAATTTTAGTTCAAAGTTGTAACTGCAATAGATATTCCTATATTTAACAATAATTTCAAAATCACATAATTCACATACTCAAACTTGCAAATTCATATCAAACAAATAATCACATGCATAATTAAGTATAATACGGGTTGATTTATCACATTTGGTCCAAAATAAATTGTTTTGAGTGGCTATGAACTATTTGGGGGATGTTTGCTTATAGTGTTTTGAAAATAAATGGAAAAATCCCATTTTTTATAAAATCCTAGATTTTGGTGAAATTTTAAAAAATTACCAAATCGATGCGATATTTATGAAATTGATGAAAATATTGATTGAACAATCATGAAAACATGGGAGGTGCATGTTGGCACTTTGAAAATTTAATGATGATGGTTGAATTGTTCCATCTTTGGCCTTCTTTTTACATTCTGATATCACTTTTTACTGTTTCACAAGTTGGTTTCATTGTTCCATCTTATTCTTTTTTCTTTATTCTCACATTGTCTTTTTCTGATTTCATTTTACATCAACCTTCTTTATTATTATTATTATTATTTTATTTATTTATTTATAATGAAGCAAATTTGTGAATTATATATGAATTATTTGTGTTTTTTTTTTCCTTTTCAACCAATTATCTCTTTCTAAATTTTTATTTTTTATTTTTTTATTATGATGAAACAATTCTCTTCCTCTCAAATTCTTTAGTACTTTATCTGGATTACCAGTTTTCTCTCTCAAACTCTTTAGATATATTATATTTAAAATTTTCTTTATCATTGAATTGAGATTCATTTTAACCTGTGTAATAATTATTTCTTTCTAATAGTTACTCACTTTAATTATTTATTTATTTAATTTTGTTCGCTTTTAACCATTGCTAGCTCTTGCTTTCAACATCATCTATTTTGGCAACTTTGGAAGCGACTCTGCCTCAAGTACTTTCGCAAACTGACTAATCAGATTGATTTATTTTCTTTTCAAAAAAAATTATTATGAAAGTTGAAGCATGATTGTAATTCAATTGACGTATTGTAGATCTAGGTATAAAATATACAAATAATGATATATCAATTGTGAAAGATGAAGTGTGGTTCCAATTTTGATATTTTTAAGTGTGGTTACTATTTGCATATACAATTTATCAAGGTGTCATATCAATTATTTTTTTATACACGTTGGGGCATATTTTGTGAATAACAGCACGTGGCGAGGTGATGCCGACATGTCAGCCAGAGTGCCACGTAGCTTAATCATGATGCCGAGATAATCTCAGCTAGGCCGATGTTATCTGTAGAGATATCGAAACCCGAGATGAGCAGATAAGGGACAAGAGTTCTAGAATGGGGGAGGACCTCAATCTGGATAAAGATAAAGCTCGTAGGGAGTTTATCTCTATCTAGCTGGGAGTCCAAGATGAGCATTGAGCAAAAGTTCATTGACGCTAGGCTTCTATAGGGAACAGGTTAGTGCTGGCTATAAAAGTAAGGCACCCTTCTGGGTCTAAGGTACGTTATTTGTATTCTAGCTAGTGAGTTAAGCAATGTTTGCTATCTTAGAGAGATAATTGAGTACTGACTTGATCGTTGGAGTGCCCCCAGGCCCGGGTGGACGAACACCGCCGGAGTCTTATCTTTCTCTGACAGGTTGTTCGGGCGTGATCTATTCTACCTGTGCTCTCTTGCTGAGTTCCTGTTTGGCAGTGTGGTCGGAAATCAGTACCGACAATTTCGTGCCATCTGTGGGAAGCTTAAGGAGAATAGATGTCCAATGACGGACAGAAAGAAAAGATTGGGGGCGACATCCCTAGTAGGAGTGGTAAAAACGGCAATTTTAACGTTGAGGAGGACAACTGTAATGAAGAACCTTGGGATTGGAATCCAGGGAAAAACGACGTCGGCCAAGAGGGAGACGCACAGAAGAAAGCATGTCAAGGCATGTATTACAACAAAAGCGACCTCCATGTATGGAAAGATAGAGGCCTGAGGAGGGTCGACGAGATGAAGGAAATGACAAACAAGTTGGCAGACCTACAATTGGTTGTCAACTTCATGATGCAGAACAACGTCATGTAGCCATCATTTCCATTGGAGGACACGCCGATTCCAGAGGCCAAGAACGATGCCCAGAAGGGGGGACGAAATGCAATCCCAGCAGTCCCTCAGCACGACAAAGTGAAAGAACGCTCACATCGGCCTTCACGGGATGCCGGGAGAGCAGAATCAATAAGAGGA